CAGTGTGCGTTTCCCATTCCAAGCAGGTCCTCCTAGCACCCTTTACTTAGTGATTCCTTCTCTATCTGAACTGCCTTTTCCCCCATCATGTGGGGCCGGCTTCTATATGCCTGTCATTTTTATATAATTGCACTCATGTAATCCTAGAGTACATATACATTGGGGCTTTGGGGTGGGTATTTTTTTGTTTGTCTGGGGGCCACTCCCAGCAGTGCTTAGAATTTACTCCTGGCTCTGCCCTAAAAGATCACTCCTGGGGCTGGAGCAACAGCACAGCGTGTAGGGCGCTTGCCTTTACATGCGGCCAACCTGGGTTCGATTCCCAGCATCCCACATGGTCCCCTGAGCACGGCCAGGGGTAATTCCTGAGCACAGAGTAACTCCTGTGCATTGCCAGATGTGACCCAAAAAGCAAATAAATAAATAAAAAATAAAAGATCACTCCTGGCAGTGCTCAGGGGACTCCATGGTATGCTGAGGATAAAATCCCAGTGCAAAGCAAGTACCTTACCAGCTGTGCTATCACTTGGGCTGCAGGTTTTTTTTTTTTTATTGTTTATTGAAATTCTCCCCCCTCTGCTTTTTTGTTCTCATTTACATATTTTGAAAATGATTTGTTAAATTTATCTTTATTGTTGAGCATATCTTTTGCTTGTTTTTACTTAGCAATTTAAAAAAATTACACACGAAGGTTTACTGTACTGGTAAAGGTAGGGTTTCATGCATAACACAATCCAGCACCACGTCTGCCCCCACCACTTCCATTGCCCAAATGTCCCTTCCTCTTAATCTCCCCCTCCGCCCTCTCCCTATGTCAGTTTGGGTTGCTTTGGGGCATATGTTCCCTATTTTGTTTATATTCCCCTATTTTGTTTCTTTATATCCCACATGAGAGAGATCATTCTGTGTCTGTCCCTTTCCTTCTGATTAACATCACTCAGCACAATACTCTCCAGATCCCTCCATATACATAGCAGCAAACTTCATGATTTCACCTTTTCTTATAACTGAGTAGAATTCCATTATATATATATATATATTCCAGTCATCATCTACTTTTGGATACTTTGGTTGTTTCCAGATTTTGGCGATTTTGAATAGTGCTGCAGTGAACATAGAAAAGTGTGGGTTTATTTTTTTTTTTGTTTTTTTGGGGTTTTTGGTTTTTTTTTTTTTTTTTTTTTTTTGGCTACAACTGGTGGTGCTTGGGAACTATTCCTACTTCTCTGCTCAAGAAGTGCTTCCGGCACGGCCAGAGACCTAGTACAGCAGATAGGGCACTTGCCTTACGTGCAGCCGACTTGAGTTCAATCCCCAGCATTCCATATGGTTGCCCAAGCACTGACAAGAGTAATTCCTGAATGCAGAGCCAGGAGTAACCCTTGAGCATCACCAGGTGTAGTTCCCCCCTCATCGCTGCCCTCTCACCCCCCACTCACATCAAAAACAAAAAACAAAAATGAATTGATGAATTGCTCCCAGCAGTGTTGGGAGAACGTGTAGTATATATAAGCAATTGAACCCCAACCTTCTGCTTTATTGAATTTTTATATAAAAGCAATACTGGTTTCAGAAAGTGAATTGTAGTGCTTTTAATACATTCAGAAGGCCTGAATTCATTTCATATCAGAATCTCATCAATATTTTTTCTTAGTGCTTTTATTTTTTTTTTCTTTTCCTCCCCTTCCCTTCCCTCCCCTCCTCTTCCTTTCCTTTTCTTCCTCCCCTCCTCTTCCCTTTGTTGTTGAGATAACCAGGGATGCACACACTGGCCTGTGGTGCTTGGACACTTGGTTGCAGTGCTCTCCAGAGTTGCACGCTTTAGTTGCAGGGCTTGCACGTGGCCTTCTGTGGGCCACATTCCTTTTGGGGGGGCGGTGCTCATGCACATTCTAGTCGTAGCAGTCATTGGGAATTATGGGCTGCTCACAATGTCCTCACTGGGGGTGTGTGCTAGTGGCCACAGTGCTCACACCCCTTTCCTGGGGGAGCAAACACACACACCTGAACATGCTGCGGAGAGCACACTCTGCTTTGGCCTTGGAGGCCCCCAGGCAGCAGAGCCTATGGGTCATTGTTTCACACCAGGGATTGAACTCAGGGTGCCACACTCACAAGCTTAGCTACTGAGTCAGCCCAGGTCCTGAGAATTACTGATGATTTTTTTTTAATCACCAAAAATTTTGAAGTTACAGTGTTATGGCTCATGAGTTGAGAGTTGCAGATGTACAATGTTCCAACAACAATCCCATCACCAGTGTCCATTTCCCTCCACCATTGTGCCCAATTTTTCTCTTGCCCTCCAGCTGTCTCATTATTTTAAAACATTTATGCTGGGGCTGGAGCAATAGTACAGTGGGTAGGGCATTTGCCTTGCACGTGGCAACTATATTCCCAGTATCCCATATAGTTCCCCAAGCACTGCCAGGAGTAATTCCTGAGTGCAAAGCCAGGAGTAACCTCGGTGCATCGCCGGGTGTGAGCCAAAAAGCAATAAATAAAAACAATTATGCTCAACGTATCTGTGGTCCTGGTGCCTCTTTTCAATTGAGGCTTTTTCCCAATTTTTATTTCTAGATTAATTTTGGTTAGCAAAATTATTCATGTTACATAAACGAAGGTGCGCGCGCGCGCGCACAGACACACACACACACACACAACCCCAAACCACCCCCGTTACTGCTGGCTCCGCAATCCCGGGTCACACCCACACACACACCCACACACACAAACCCAAAGCACCCCTGTTACCGCGGCTCCGAAATCCCGGGTCAGCGGTCAGCGTAATGCTTGGCTCTAAAAGTTTCACTTCGTCCCTGGGTGGGCTCGAACCACCAACCTTTCGGTTAACAGCCGAACGCGCTAACCGATTGCGCCACAGAGACCAACTGGAGTGCTAGTACAGTGGTAAGGTATTTGCCTTGCGTACAGCCAGCCTGGCCGAGCCAGGTTCTATTCCTCTGCCCTTCTCAGAGAGCCTGGCAAGCTACCTCCCGGGAGTATTCAATATGCCAAACCCAGTAACAACAAGGCTCACAATGGAGACGTTACTGGGCCCGCTCGAGCATATCGATGAACAACGGGAGGACAGTGTTTGACAGTATTTGACATGTTATATAAAGTCTTGTGTGTGTGGGGGGGGGGGGGGGGGGCATTTGCCTTCTCCTCTCAGCTTCTTAATCACAGATTTAGTTTTTTAAAAAAATCTGAATGAGGAAGTGTTAACTTTACAATGGTAATCAGTCATCTCCAAAACCATATACTTGATTGTGGGAATCAGCAAACTTCAGGGAAAAATCTGGTTCAGAAGCTCAGTAAATCTTACTAATGCCAGAAAAGCTAACTGGATTATTTAGGTGCTCTTTGGAAAAAAAGACATTTGAAGAAAAGGAGTTCATTGTCAGAAATGTAAGCTGTTCCTATGAAGAAAGACTGAGTTTATTACAAAAGTGGATGTATAAGAATTCATTGCCTAAATTTACACAGCTGAGCCATATTCACAGTCAAGCTGTGAATTCAGCCACTCTGGTTCCAGCTCCTATATCCTGAAGGTATTTCACCACCTTCTTGATGAGGGCTGTAGTCTAAGCATCTTTGAAAGTCTGTGACTTTCACATAGAAAGCTCCAATATGTATTTGTCGGGGGAAGGGTTAAGTGAATGAACAAACAAGGGAGATAGTGACTATAATACAACGCAGAATGAATAAAGTACTTTCATGGAGCTGAAATTAGAGTTGTGTGAACAATGACATCCTAATAATGGTACTATCTTTTGGAAGTGGTTTACATTTAAACCTTTCAACGTGGCGTAATGCCTAGTAAATACGTTGTCTCATCGCCTAACACTCTAAGTCCATTACTGCTTTTCTTTGGGTACTGAATTTCCTTATGTCTTCAGTCTTTCTTACCTAATGGATTTAAATGGCCTCAACTCCCTAAGGGCCATTAGAATGAAATGGCAAAAATTAAAATGAAGGTTTGGAAATATTTGCTAATATGAATGATTGTCCTAGTTTTGAAAATCAGTTATTAGCGTTTAATTTAACTTCCTATGGTGGAGATGAAGCCATTTAATGGGATGGAGGTTTAAAGCTTTTAGTAAATGATTCCATCAGACCATTATTTATGATACCAAAATTTATAAACAAATAATTAAGAGATGTTTAAATAAGTTACAAACATCTTAGTGGTAAAAATATGCACTCTTATCCTATATGAAAAAGTGCTTTAATGTAATCTTTAAAAGAGAAAAAGTTGGGCAGAATTGGAATTGCAATTGATTACAGACTTCAAAAACCAAAATTTTTCCAAGAAAGAAGTTGGGAAGTACAGTTCACCACAATGAGTCCTGGTTTCCTTAATGTAGGGGACGTTCATGTGAAGATAGGAAGGTTATGCTTAAATTAGTGCATTTTGGTGCATCTTCATTTGGTGTGTAAGTGTGATTTAAGTTCTTAACCATTTTATAATAATATCTGCCACTCTCTTAAATTACCCTTTAAAAAAAAAAAAGAAAAGAAAGAAAAAGAAAAACTGGACCAAAAGAGAAAATTAAGAAAAAAAAAATACTGGGCCAACCTTATTTGATACACAGATTACCCTCTTAAAAGTTGTCACCCTTGGGGGCTGGAGCAATAGCACAGGTCGGCCCTGGTTCGATTCCCAGTATCCCATACAGTCCCCCGAGCACCACCAGGAGTAATTCCTGAATGCATGAGCCAGAGGTAACCCCTGAGCATCGCCGGGTGTGACCAAAAAAAAAAAGAAAGAAAAAAGAAAGTTGTTACCCATGGGAACTGGAGAGACAGTGCTGGGGAAAGTGCCTCCTTTTCTATTTACATGATTTGAGGTGAGGCCAAAATAGCAAATAAAAGTTACAACAAACCGTAAGCAATCAATAAATGCAAATTGCAAACAACAGACAAAGGCAAACATCATAAAGGTAAGATGGGAGTAAAGCCTAACTTAAAACCTTTTTGTAGTACTTCGAGATTAAGAAACCACTCAGAATACGTTCTCTCCCTCAGGCCACTCTTAAGAGGGGCATGAACGGTCATCAATGGTAGAGAGACATTGCTTACGCAAACCTCAAAACCGGCTTCACGCTCAGGAGAGAACGTTTCAACACATCCTCATGGTTTCGGGTGCTCTACACATTCAGAGAAACTTCTCTAGTAAGAAACTATAGAAATGATCCCTGAAAGTATAGTCTTAACGAGTAGAATTCGGTGTTCCATACGTCTATATCAGGCGAGCACTTTGCAGTGATGGTGATCTACAATGAGCGTTCCCAGCGTCATTTCCGCCCTAATTATGGTTTCACTGGGAAAAGAAAGAAAGGTACTTTGACATATAGCCTTCAGATGATATCATTTTACTTTCAAATGCAACATATTTTAGCGTCTGAAGTGGAAATGTAATTTAGAAAATGCTAATAACCACTCGTAATTAACATATTGCGGAGTGACAGCCAATCACGACCTTCCTCCTTAAAAGCCACCCTCTTCCTAAAGTTTACGACGCTGGTAAATTTTCTGGTAAAGAAGCCACGCCCACGAAAACTAAAGGCTTGAGCCTTAAGTCTTTTGCCTTTGTTAAAACCTGGCTTTAGGGCCAAAGCGTTTACCTTCCATGCGGCGAAGCCGGGTTCGATCCTCAGCATCCCATATGGTCCCCCAAGAACCAACAGGAGTGATTCCCAAGTGCAGAGTTAGGAATAAACCCCTGAGCATTACTGGGTGCGACCCAAAGACGGAAAAAAAAAAACCCTGATTTCAGCAATTAGTAAATTTTAGGTATTGCCAGTAAGAAAATTTAAAAACAGATGAAAATAACAAAAGTGAAAGTGACATTCTGCTACTTCTAACGGGGGAGGGGGTCAGCTTTATTTTAAAATCTGTTCCACCAAGAATTTGACAGCAAGATGCTTTTAAAAAACAGAGTAGTTGTGAAAGAGCCTTGAAAGTTAAAACGCTTCTGTGGAAGCAGTAAACAGAACCTGCTACTCACTGGCATCCCTTCAAGAAATGGCAATTTGATTCTCTTAGCTGGCATATTTCCTTTTGAAAAGCCCCGAGAGAGATCATCTTGGGCAAAAAGGTCCCAGACGCCAACTTCAGAGCTGGGGGGGGGGGGGGGGTCTTTGGGGAGGTGGGGGGGGGGGGGCAGGATGGTTTCAGCATAGCAAGGAGGTTTAATCCATCTTTCCTGACCTTCTGGGAATTGCAGGATGACAGGTCCGGATGATTTAGAGCTGTGCTCCATGTTGACCAAACAGCACCAAGGAAAAACACCTCTTCCAATCCAGGAAAAATGACAGCAAGTGTGTGGACTAGTCCTTTGGGTCCTTCTAGTGGGGGGTTGGAGGAAGACCTCCTTCCTTTTCCTTCCCACTTGAAGCTGGGCAGAGGGGGTGGATCACAATCAGCTATACCTGTATGTGCCAACCCAACATGTGCAGACTACTTCTCTCTTTTTGGTTTTTGGAGTCACAACGGGAAGGTGCTCATCAGGGCTTGCTTCTGACTGCAAAGGGCTCACTCCTGGTGCTGACGGGGAATCAAACCCAGGTCTGCTGGGTGGAAGGCAAATGCCCTACCTGCCATACTGGCGTAAGACTGGTACTCTTGCGGAAGCAGAATATCTTTTCCTGAAGTTCTGAGAATCATGGATTATTTGAACCTTATTCAAGGGGAAAATATTTGTATGTTAATTGGACATGGCGTAGGTTGTGCAGGACTAGTAGAATTGGTTTCCTTGAGAAGGGAAGAAATGACTCATAGAAAGTTTTTGAAATTTTATTTATTTTTGGTTGGGGGGCCACACCTGGCAGTGCTCAGGGATCACTCCTGGTGGTGCTTGGAGGAACATATGGGGTGCCAGGGATCACAGCAGGATCACCGTCGTGCAAGGCAAGCACCCTACCTGCGTACTATCTCTCGGGTCCCTGAAGGTTTTTTTTTTTTTCTTTTTGGGTCACACTCAGCAATGCTCAGGGGTTACTTCTGGCTCTGCACTCAGGAATTACTCCTGGCAGTGCTTGGGGGACCATATGGGATGCTGGGAATTGAACCCAGGTTGGACGCATGCAAGGCAAACGCCCTACCCACTGTGCTATTGCTCCAGCCCCTGGTCCCTGAAGTTTTTGTTTGAAAGGCCTTCATCTAGTTTGTCTTCACTCCTATACAACAAAAATTCCTCTCTGCTGTCCGTCATTCTTCATTCAGTTTCCAAAAGCTCTTACTCCTTAAGCTACTTCCCTTTAAAATTCTTTATATTTTGGCCCTTGAGAGGGAAATACTGTCTCTCCCAAGAGAGGTAATTGTTGGCTCATCCTTGGAATGGGTGATCATTCAGGAAAGATAGCTGGTCTGCGGTTTGTGCATGAAAACACTGCTGCTTCCATCTTCCTCCCAGTGTCTGGGACTGATCTTTGCTTTCATTGCATTTAAACATTTTTATTTTCTTTTGTAAATTTTTATTTATAAAGATAGTAGCAGAGGGGGGTAGGTTGGGTTAGGCCTCGAGGGTCTCAGGGCTCTTCTTAGCTCAGTCCTCTGTACTATAGACGTTGCCAGGAATTGAACCGGAGTTGACCACAGGCAAAGTAAGTGTGTCACCACTGTATGATCTCTTTGGCTCTCAGTGCCTTTAAAAAGGAAAAAAAAAAAAAGCACAGTCATATTTGTCAGCAAAGACTAATGTGTGTCATTCTAAACAGTAGGAAGTTAAAGATTTTTTTTTTTTTTGCATGGAGGAAGAGAGGTAGTGGCTGTTAATTGAGAAAAACAGGAGTACAGTTGTTGAATGAGGTTTTTCTTCCCCATTGGAAAATGGGATTTAGGGCCAGAGAGATACTACAGCAAGTAGGGCACTTGCCTTGCACGCACCTGAACTGGGTTCAATCCCCAGCATCCCATATGGTCACCTGGGCCCTTCCAGGAGTGATCCTGGCACAGTCAGGAGTAAGCACAGAACCAGGAGTAAGCCCTAAGCACCACAGGTATGATCCAAAAAAAACAAAAGAGATTTAAGAAAAGAATAGAGAAGTAAAAAGGGGATTTAAGCAGAGATCACCTGTCTCAGAGCAATATTCCCTACATGTTGTTTCTTGTTTTGCAGAGCCCTGTGTTTACTTAGCAAAATGTCTTCTGAGTCCCAGGTGCTGTGTTAGGATTAATTTTTGTTTTTTGGTGGAAGTAGCAGTGCAGTATATTACATAAGTGTCACATTGACACTGTTGTAGATGGCATCTGTGCCTACAATGTTCAGTTCTATTTTCTACTATGCAGTTGACCCCTTTCCCTGATAGACTCACACCCCTACTCAGTTACAATTTCTGTTTCACAGTTTGTTCTCTGTCTTATCGTAAAAAAGAAAAGAAAAAAAAAAGAATATTGACTTGGGCCTCTTGTTTACTATCTTTGCATCAGTCCTGGCTCTGCACTTAGGAATTACTCCTGGTTGTGCTGGGGAACCAAATGGGATGCGCCAGGGATGGAACTCAGGTCGGCCACATGCAAGGCAAACGCCCTACCCGCTGTAGTATCACTCCAGCCCCCTCTTGTTTACTATCTTGATAGAAACTTCTCACCTTTCTTCACACTGCTCTTCAGCCCGACACTTCCTGTTCCACCTCTTCCTACTCTGGGGTTTCCCCAACCACCCACAAAAAAAGTATTTCCCCCCACACAAAAAAGTACTTGTTTTCTATTTCCATGTCAGCACGTGGCCACAGACCTTGGAGTCTAAAACAACACATATTTATGATGTCTCAGTTTCCATGGACCCAGGAGTTGGAGACTCCCAGGGTCTTCTGGATGTCAACTGGGCTATATTTTCATCTGGAGGGTTCGTGAGGAAGAATCCACTTCAAGGATTTGGAGTTCATTTCCTTGTGGATGCTGCGTTAAAGGTCTTGGCTGCTGTGCTGGAGAGACGGTACAGGACTCAAGGCACTTGCCACGCGTGTGGCTGAGCTCAGCTTGACACCCCAGTACCAAACAGTCCCCCAGTTCCTCCAGGGGTGATTCCTGAGCACAGAGCCAGGAGTAATCCTGAGCATTGTTGGGGGTGGCCCCACTCCCTCCGAAATAAAATAAAGGTCTTAGCTTCTTTCTGGTGGCCAGCTGGAAACTGTTCTCAAAAGTTTCTCAGGAACAAACAAACTAAAAAAAGATTCAAGGCATTAAGGGGCCCAGGCAAATGGATTTGGAACATTTGTTTGTTTTGGTTTGGTTTTTGTTTGTTTATTTGGGGGCCACACCCAGGTTTGCTCCTGGCTTATTCCTGCCTGATTCTGTGTCAGGGGTCACTACTGGTGGTACTGGGGAGCATTTTTTGAGTAGTGCTAGTTTCCCTGCTGCCTCTCCTTCCTCTCCATCTCTCCTCCTCCTCCTCCTGTACTTTTTCTTACTGAGATAGATATTGATATGGTTTTTTTTTTTTTTTGTGGTGGGGCTCTGCACTCAGGATTTACTCCTCCTGGTGGTGCTCGAGGGACCATATGGGATGCAGGGGATCAAACCCAGGTCGGCTGCATGCAAGGCAAATGCCCTACCTGCTGTACTATGCTCCAGCCCTGCTCTGTGTTTGTTTTTTGCTAGAGAGAAATTAAATTCTGGGGAGTCTTGCTCCAGCATTTAAGAGTTCTAGCCCACAAGGAACACTTGGCATTTGTCCTTACAACTCTTTGTCCAGAACTAATCACATTACCTTATCTAACCACAAAAGTATCTTGCTTTGTGCTCCCAGGGTGGAGAGCCAGAAATGGATGTTAAAACTAAAGACTATCATGTGTTGAGGACAACTGGCTTCTCAAAAATGTTTGATGAAGGGCCAGAGAGGGTTCAACGCACAGACTTTGAATGCAGGAAGTCCAGACTTGATCTCAGTACCACACGGTCCCCTGAGCAACTGCGGGTAACCCCTGAGCACTGAGGGGTGTGAATCCCCAAACCAAAAAGTTCCTTGAAACTTTTTTCATGAAGCATATGGGAACACTGCTTGTGAGGAGTAGCTGTGCAAACACCAGGTTCTAGCCTCAAAGATGACATGGTCCAGCCGCTGCAGTAGAGACCTTACTCCCTCCAGCTCCGCTTCCCATCAGCCTTCTTTGACTGTTCTGTCAGTTAGAAACCACCCAACACCCCCGTCTCTTTTCTGTAAGATTTTAGGGAAGGAGTTTGTACAACATCTTACAGAAAGCAGAATC